CCTCAGTGATCAGCAATTGTCCCTCAGACACCCCAAACATCACTCATCTGAAATCCAATTCTTTATCCATCCTTCCCTCCAGCAGTGTAGTACTCACCCGGCCTAGAAACTGGGTAAACTTCAACTATATCCACCTTCCTGCTCAGTCTCACAGGTTCAGCTCTGCCCACCTCCTCACCCCTCCCTCCTCAGCCCCTAACACCACCACTACCACCACCTCTCTCCTAGGGGAGTACAAGGGGCTCCTCGAGGGCTGCCCTCCTCTAACTTCACGCCCCCTACTCCAGCTCCTCTTCCACAGCCCAGGTTACCATTTGACCCTTGAGCCCAGATCAAGCCACGTCCCAGCTAAAGTGCCTGCATGAGAACAGAGTCCAGACGCTCCACAACCATCACACACAAGGCCCTGGCAGGGGGCCTCACGCTGCCCGTGCAGGCACATCTCTCTGCTTCCACTTACCCCATGGGTAAGGCCATTCCTTGGGCCTGACCTGGACATTCATGCCAGAAGCACCCTCAGTCCTGGACTCACACTCCTTCCCTACTTACACACTGTTCACCTTCCACTTCACAGCGCTGTAACAGTGCAGACAGTAACAAGCGCTGAGGATGTGGAGAAGCTGTAGCCCCTGCACACTGCTGAAGGTCACAGAAAATGGTGCAGACACTTTGGGAACATTTTGGCAGGTTTTCTTTTTGTCCTCAGTACTGGGAATTGAACTGGGTACACCCCCAGCCTTTTCTATCTTTTCAGACAGGTTGTGCCACGGTGCCCAAGTTAGTGTAGTAGTTTTTCAAAAGGCTAACCATATAAATACTATATGACCCAACAATTCTACCCAAACACATATGCATATAACTTGTACACAAATATGCAAAGCAGCACCATTCATATTTTGAAAACAAAGGAAATAACTCACATTCATCAATGATGCATGGATGAATAAAATGCATCCTAGTGTCCACAAAATAAAGTTATTACTTGGAAATTAAAAAGGACTACACTGAGAGGCTGAGGCAGGAGGATCACAAGTCCAAGGCCAGCCTGGAAAATTCCACTGTGAGCTCCTGCCTCAAAATAAAAAATACATAAAAAGAGCTGCAGGAGTAGTTCAGCAGTAGAGCACTTGCATATCATGAGGAATGCCTGCATTCAATGTCCCCTACTAAAAATAACAGAAGAAAAAAGGAAGAGAACAGAAGAGGAATAAAGTACTGAGACACGCTATAACATGGCTGAATCTTGAAAATATGCTCACTGAAAGAACTCAGTCACAAAAGGCCACATAATTGTATGATTCTACCTAAAAGGTTGAGCATCCTTAAGCTGGAAATCTGAATTGTTCCAAAATTCAAAACTTTCTGAGTCTAAACATGACACCAACAATGGAAAATTCCCCACATGACCTCATGTGATGAGCTGGAGTGAAAACACAGGCACACTAAACATATTATAAAAAATTATCTTCAGGCTTTGTGCATATGAGGCATAAATGAATTTGGTGTTTAGGCTTGGATCCCACCCCCAAGATATATTACCATGTATCTACAAATATTTAAAAGGCGGAAAACAGGAACACTTTTGGCCTGTACATGAAATGTCCAGGACAGGGAAAAGTCTATGGAGGCAGAAAGTGGGTGAGCGGTTGGTTGCCTAGGGCGGAGGGGAAAGGATGCACTGCTAATGGGTATGCAGTCTCTTTTAAGGAAGACAAAAATGTTCTAAAATTAGATAGTGGTGATGGTTACACAACCCTATGAACAAACTAAAAAGCCCCAGTGAATTGTATGGTATGCAAATTATATCTCAACACAGCTGTTTAAACTATTCAGAAAGCCATACCTCTTCCAACACAGTACCTGTATCCTTCATAAAATGCTATTTGACCCTTCCTTAAGGTCATTGTTCCATGAGGTTAATCTTGCTTTTCTGAGTTCCTGCAGTCAAAATTTATACCTCTAATCACTACTACTTTCTGCAATCTGGAATAGTATTTAGAAGTTTTTTTTTGTTTAAGTATTTAGAAAGTTCTGAAACCAAACTGTTGGGGTTTAAGTCCTCACCGATACTTGTTAGGTACACAAATAAATGCAAGTTACCTAATTTTCTTCTTCTTTCCCCTTCTCCCACCCCCTCTTCTTCTTTCCCACCCAGTGCTGAGGATTGAACCCAAGGCCTTCACACTGAGCCATATTCCCTAACCTTTATGTTTTTTACTTGGAGACAAGGTCTCATTAAAACACTAAATTGCTTGCGCTGGGTTTGAATTGATGCTCATCCTACCTCAACCTCTAAGAGTGGTAGGGTTACACATGTGCACTACCACACCTGGCTTGTTTGTGCCTCAGTTTTTTTATGTGTAGAATGATATAAAGAAAGGGTTACCTACTTCACAAGACTTGTGTGGGTAACAAGCATAAAATGCCAAGAGCAGTGCCTGGGGGCTTGTATGAAGCGTTATCTATTACTAGTGCTCTATCATAGCCACCTCTATCTTTGGTCTCTTCCAGACCATCTGTGAATGCCCTCAGGGAATGGCACAAAGCCTGTGTCATCAGCCATGTTTGCATCTCCTCAAGAGGACCAATATTATCACAGACTGGCAGGGGAGAGGAGCAAGGCGTCACAGCTCCAACTCTAGGGATGCCCAACTTCACCAGAGCCACGGCACAGCAGTAGCTGGGCAAATTTAATCCAAGTAAGGGGCTACTCTCAGAAAAAGATCATGAAATGGTGTACCAGAAAGTGTTCCTTAAAATCTTCCACTATATAATCTATACTCACCCAAATGCAGAAGTATCAAATATAGTAAGGAGCCAACAGACGCCCCAATTTACACATTTTACCCACATTTGCCAAAACCCCTCTATGTTTTATTTATTCATTCTTACTGAGTACCAATTATGTACAAGGCACCATGTGCTAGCTTCCTGATGTGTACACTTCTCTTTCCCAGGCAGATTTTCTCCCTGTGGTAGCATGGAAGAGGTTCAAGGGGTCTGTCTCCAAATAAATATGTGCCCTGTTTACTCAAACATAAATCACAAATCCTACACTTACAAAAGTTACTCAAATGTAAAGAAAATTTCTATAATTTCTTTTAACTATGGGCTTTTTCCAATTATTATAACTGACTGAAAAGAAGAGGACTGGGCATGCAGCTCAGAGGCAGAGCACCTGCCTAACAGACACAAGGCCCTGGGCCAGAAAGTCAGCACCACAAACAAACAAACAAACAAACAAACGCCCTAAAATGCCACAGTGGATTGCACTGCATGAATAGGTGGAAAAAAGCACCATGTCTGTCATACACGGGAAGAAATCCCGAGATCAGTGTAGTACTTGTAGAAAGAGAGTTCTAGCATGCATTTATTAGATCCTAAAGTACAATGGGACACTTATGTGTAGTGTTAAAATGCCTTTCAGTTATGGAAGCAAAACATTTCCCCCCAAATTTCATGCAAACACTCTTTTACAAGTAAGACTGAGTTAAAATACTGTTCCAAATTTTATGATTACACACACACAATTCTGAGTACTCTCAAAAATTCTTGCATTTGATTATGATCATTAGCTCTTTAAAAAAGTGCTATTAGCAACAAAATATTTTAGGTTGGAACCAAACAACCTAGAGGCTGGAAGAAACCCAAACTGCATGAGTTCCTTCATTTAGATCAGATAACTTAGAAGCTGCCAGTTTAATCTGCAGTTATCTTAATCTCATGACCCCCTTCATATGGAACTTTCAGTTCTGCTCATGACTCTGAGAGATACTGTTGTTATTTTTACTTCTTACAATATTTATAGAGACAGCTTATCTTTCTTTTCTTTCCTTTCCTTTCTACCCCCCTTCCTTCCCTCCCTCCTTCCTTCTTCAGATGGAGTCTTGCTGTGTTGCCAGGGGAACTCCTGAGCTCATGCAATCATCCACCTCAGTCTCCTGAGTAGCTGGGACTACAGAAGGTACCACTCTATCTTTATTTTCAAATGAACAAAATGAACAAAAGTTGGATTTCAAACATTCACTTAAGTACTTTTTTCAGTCATTCTAGTCATGCTTTTACCTCAAACACAAAGCAATGCTAATAAATTAGAGGGACTGTGTGTGTGTGTGTGTGTGTGTGTGTTGTGTGCGCACGCGTGTGTGTGCGCGCAGTGCTGGGGAACGAACCCAGGGCATGTTTGCCAGATAAATGCTCTACCCGTATCTACCCATAAGCTTCACCCCCCAGGCCTCTTTTATTTTATTTTGAGACACTGTCTTGCTAAGTTTCCTAGGCTAATCTCCAACTTGTCATCCTCCTGCCTCAGTCTCTCAAGTAGACTGATTTTGGTACATAAACAGATGTTAAATAGATATTTGATCAATGAACCTGCTAAAGAATGCATCTCTCTAAAATCGCAGGTAGATACATGATAATTCAGTACAACCTAGATATATATGGGAATACTTTTTACAGTGGTTTTTTTTCTGGAATAATTATGGACTTGATGGCCAACAAGAAGTTCACTGCTGCTGAAATGAAGACGGAGTGAAAAGGCTGTTCTATGTGGTTTTTGGACAGCTTTCAGCATTCTGGATATAACGAGGACTTTAGGAGAAAATGACAAAGCACAGTCATCTGATCTGGTCATGAAGTATACTCTGCACTACAGAGAAGCCAAAATGAGATAAAAACTCATTTATTGTTGGCACTATACCAGGGTCAATAGGTAGAGCATGCAATCTCTCCACATTTTCAAAGTAGGTGCTGGGATAGTTTCAAATTTTGCAAGTGAAGAAAAGTGCTGGGGTTCTGGGTCTCAGAATTTGCTGCACACTGGAATCACTTGAGTATTTAAAAAAAACATTCTGGCTCCGAGCCTCAGATATTCTTTTTGAACTTGCCTTGGGGTATGAGCTGGGCACTGGGACTTTTAAAGTCCCACAGGTGACTCCGATGTGCAGCAACTCTGACTACCTTGGGGCCATTTAAATACCTGACCTCCAGCAACTTACACCTGTGGTCTGAGGATCTTCAGCTGAGTGAGGATGTCCGCCTGCACCCTGGGGTTGGCAGTGGCGGTGAGAGCCATCACAGGAACAGAAGGGAACTTCTGGCGAAGCATATTCATTCGTTTGTAATCTTGGCGAAAATCATGTCCCCACTGGTGGGAAAAAAAATTCCTTTTCAGATTATTTGGATCTTCCTTATGAAAATTATCAACACTGGTCAATATAGTAAAACCACTTTATTCTTCAGTGAAATGGCAGAACAGTTCACTCAATATGGATTTTTCTCAGCTGTGGAAAGATCACACTATTGAAGGTATAAACTTATTGATATTCCAAGCGAGTCAGGGCTATAGCTCAGCGGTAAAGTGCTTGCCTAGCATGCTCGAGGCTGTGGGTTTGGGCTCCAGTCACCAAACAAACAACAAACCAAAAAAGCACCCTGATATCTCAAGATGTAAAAGCAATATTACCTGGCTCACACAGTGTGCTTCATCAATAACAAAACGTGCCAAAAGCCTCCTCTCATACAGATTCTCCAGAGTAGAAATTAGCCGGTTACTTGCACAGACCTAGACCAGAAACATACATGATATCTAAACATATCACTTTAATCATTTTGGAGTCTCTAAGTACCACTACAATTACAATTAGGCTGTGTTAAAATATCTAAATGAAACCGGTTCTTCTTACAGTCTATGAGGAGGAGAGCAGGGTAAGAAACCTGATACTTTAGAATGTCCATCCACATTCAGCTATCAGCTACTCATTAGGTCAGTGGCTCTAAAATTTTATGCTGCCTTGACACATCTGAGGGCCACCCCAAGTTTATACTGGTAACAGGATTAAACATGTATATTGTGTGTATGTCATCTGCGGGAAAATTATGTATACATATATCATATCTGTAGAAGTTAAGTAAGGACATATTTTATAGGTTTGTCCACGACAGGGTCTAGAACCAATCACATCCAAGTAGTAACAAATACACCTAGCACCTATATCTTGACATTAGAAATGCACAGTGAAATATTTAGGTTTAAAAAGATATCATGTCTGGAACTTTCAATCAAATATTTGAGAAAAAATACAGAAAGAATAATAAAGCAATTATAATAAAAGGTTACCATTGGGGGTTTCTGAGTGAAAGTTAACATACTATACATCAAATATTATGTTGAAGTTTCAAAGGCATACATAGTCTAGGGGCCTTCATTACTATATTGTGAAATAATGATAGAATACAAACCTTCTCTGGAGTAACATACAGAAGTTTTATAATTGGGTCTTTTTTTGATAGTTGGAGGTAAATACTTGCAGCTTCAGAGTCAGTCTTATCACCTGTCAAATATGTAGCTGGAATCTAAGTGTAAAAGTAATACATTTAAATTTTATACGTTAATCTGTGAGAATTATATTTTTCTTTAGGTTTTATAAATATTTTATAAGTCACATATCAAACCTATCAAAGGAAATACATATCTCATAATAATAGCAATCAATACACATATTTTAAAAAAAATCTTTATCAGGCATAACTAAAAATAGCCTTCCCATTATTTACTTCCTTTACTTTTTGTATTTGTAGATAACATAAATGTGAGTGTAGCATACAAGAAATTCCAGTCCTAATTTCGGCTGCATTTTTTTTTGGTAAATGTGTTTTCTAGGTTTTAAGGCACCGTGACAGCAAGGCCAGCGGCACTTGGCTGTGCTGAAGTACTTTGGAAGAGAACACCAGACCAGTGGTCTTGCTGAGGTGTGGTGACTCGTAATGCTGCAACCGATTCTGCTGATGACAATATGAAGAACTCAGTAGAGTGCAGTCATGTACTTCCTTAAATTGTCACGAGGAAAAAGACATATGTGTGTGGGCACATACATGCGCATTTTAAGACATAAGGGAAGGAGAACTATGCTGATCCGGTAGTAGCAGAAAAAGAACTCTTTTGTATTAATAAAAAAATTAATCAGGAAAATATAAATTAAAAATTATTAAAATAATTCTTATCAAATAAAATGAGCCTGAATTATAGATGGTTATATGTACTGGAATTTTCTAACACTGTGCTTAACTATACAACTTAACTGTTGTTACTCTTATAATTCAAGAACTTACTTAACACAAAGGTTACCTAAAATATTGAAATGTAATTGATCTGAAGGCCCACTTTTATTAGTGTTGTTAAATAACTTACATCCAATGAAGTCAGCTTTTGGACTTGGTCTACTATTAGTGATCTCAAGGGAGAAATGACAATAGTGACTCCAGGAGAAACACAGGCAGGCAGCTGGTAACACAAACTTTTGCCACCTCCTGAAAGACAAATGATGGAAAAATTCTGCTAGCTTCTATCTTGAGAATATGAAGGTAAAAGATGCAAAGGAAATTACATACGATATTTTAAAAAACTCATAGGCTACCAAGTGTGTTGCCACAGTGTCAACATTTATGTGCGATACTGAATGAGTCAAACTACTTAGGCAATTTCAATGTGTAAAAATGATCTTTTAGAATATTTACCATAGGCACATGTAACAGCAAAGACAAGATTCAGGGTAAGAAATTTAGATGCAATGGAACTGCTTAAAAAGTTTACTTGGGACATCTAAGCATAATAACCTTTTTATTTCTGGCAGTATAAAAGGTCTCTAAAAACCACGATACTAGTACTAAAACAATTACTTTCCATATAGTGTATATATTTTTAAAGAGTTAGAATGTAATGAAATACACAATACTAAACCCCACTAAACCATGACCCAGCACCTCTCTGACCCAGAGGTGCTTTCAAGATTCTACCTCTTTTGGTAGTGTGGTAGCACACGCCTGCAATCCCAGCACTTCGGAGGCTGAGGTGGGGGGACTGCTGGGTAGCCTGGACTACATAGCTAGACCATGTCTTGAAAAACAAACAAACAAACAAACAAAAGAAGATCCCAATTCTTTTTTACCATTAGCATGAACCTTCCAACACCAGCTAGCTGGGGGTTGGGAGCCATTCATAGAGTAACAGTCCTAACCTCCTTTGGAAATAAAAACGTAGGACTACATTTGGCTGTCCTAACAGAAGATGAAGAAATAATTTTGAAAGACCAAAACATTCTTGCCATGTAACTAAGTCAAAATGCCAAGACAATGAGGACACATTTCTTCTTCGCCCCCTTCTCCTCCTCCTTCAGTGTTGGGTACGGAACCCAAGGCCTTGCACATGCTAGGCAAGTGCTCTGTTGCTGAGCTATACCTCCAGCTCCACGTACACATTTCAAAATAACTGAAATGATCATGCAGTACTCAATTTTCAATTTCACTGATTTAAAATGACAGAAGCTAGCACTAAGCACTTTTTAGGACTTCAATTTTTTCTTTTAACTATTGATTCTACCCCTTCTTTTTTCACATGACTAGTAGGTAAATTTATTTTGCTATATATGTGGAAATGTCAAGGAAAGAACAGGACGTGAAGAATAAAAGAAGTGCTCTAACACGTAATTAGCTGTATGTATGGAGACATGCCATTTAACCTTCACTAGACGTTTTAACATCTGCAACATCCATTAGATTAATGGTTAAAAAAATTTTTTTTTTGGTCTAAAATAAAACCTTATCTTGAACTGTTACATATGTATCACTTAAGAAGCTGAAACTGGGGTGGAAAAGACCCTTCAACTGCCAGGATCCTTTCCAGTGCAGTTTTTAAGGGCCAAATTAGGATTGAAACAGAAGATGTAGAATGATCAAAGAGTTAATAAAATCTGAAGTGTTGGTTAAGACAACACTGTCTTAATTTTAAAATGAGATGGAAAAAATTCAGATGCCTAGTCAACATTATGTAATAAAGATGCTAATATCTAACCTGCTAAAGCAAAAGACAGGACTACTTGTAGGCACTAAAATTCTCGATTTTCTGTTTCCTATCCTAATTGCTTATTTAATATTCTTATATGGATGACTATAAATTGTAAGTGTTACAAGCTTTATTAGCAGAGTGAAGTCTTTTTTTTTTCCCTTGTTACTTTAATTTTTTTGTAGTCAGATTTTACTGGTACATTTTAGATACACACATAGTGATAACATTCATAAGAGCATTTGTACGGAGCAGAGTGAAAAATATCTTCGACTCCTCAAAACAGGGGGCGAGAAGGAATGCTGAACTCTTTATGGTTACAGCCCCATGCACATGGGGAGATGGGTGGGGGTCAAGTGCCTTGCCTGAGGTCATGCGGCTCAGGAGCAGAGCTGCCCTTCAAGACTAAGCTATTACTCCAGAGCTGATGATTTTTACCACCTCATACCATTAGGCTGTGTGTAAAAAACTGTCAGAAACCATCATGGCCTCTGACAATGATTTTTTTGATGTTGTTCACTTTCTAGGCTTATTTACATCAAGAAAAAGAAAAACTCCTAAAGAAAAATTCAATATCAAGTCAATTCAGTGAGCTTTGAGTTAAAAATCTTAAAAGGGCTATAAACTCTATCATGTCAGTAACTAGAACTAAGAATGTGAGATGATACGCTTCTTACGATGGCATGGGAGGTTTAAGAGGTCTCTAAATGACAGAAATGCTATGTAGGTGTTCCTTTATTTCTATTAAAGAGCTTTCATTTAACATCTGCCAATGGATTCTTGCCAATTCATATCTAAAAATACATACCAGTGGGCATCAGGATGAAACAGTCTTCACCAAGCAGAGCAGCATTGATCGCCTCAAGCTGATTAGTTCTAAAATTATGCAGGCCAAATTTTTTGTGAAAAATCTTCATCATTTCTTTTGTATGGGGAAAACTAAGACTTTGGAAGCGCTCCTGCTTTGTATTTCTGGATGCTAAATTTTGCGCCAACTTGTCTATGAAAACAATCAACGTTAAGAAAATGAGTGCATTAATGTAACTACACAGTTTTAACATTTAACCTTGCCCTCGCAGAACCACTGGCACATACCTACAGCACTCTGTATTCTTTGTGGGGTTTCTTTCCAACAGTCCCAAGGCCACCAGCAAATCCCTAAAGGCCCAAATCAAGTCTTTCACTCACTTTTCTGCAGATCCTACCAGTATTACTTATCCCTCCCCTCTCCATGCTCCCACGACCTTCATGGGCTTCTACTTGTTTTGTTTTATTTCACAGAGTGGCAGATGGAACACAGGGCCTTGTGCATGCTAGGCAAATGCTCTATTACTGAGCTACATTCCTAACTCCTCCACTGGCTTTAAATTGCCTTTTCTGGGTACACCCTTCCCCTGCAAACCGGAGACTGAACCCAGGGCCTTTGTACTGAACCACCTCCACGTCCCTGCAGGGTCTTGTGAAGTCATTAAATTGCCCAGGTTAGGCTCAAGCTTGTGCTCCTCCTGCCTCAGCCTTCCAGAGTGCTGGGAATACATGCATGTACCATAACACGTGGCTTTTCCTTCTGCTCCTTAAATTTGCGAGACTTTCATACTTAGGACTGGGCTCTTCATATACTCTTTTTTGTAATTTCCTAAGTCCTATGATCTTTTTTTTTGAGACAGGGTTTCGCTACACAGTTCAGGCTAGGCTTCAACTCACACTGTAGCCCAGGCTAGCCTCAAACTCACCACAATCCTCCTGCTTCAACCTCCCAAGTGCTGGGATTACAGGTGTGTGCCATCACACCCAGCCTTTCAAATCCTATGGTCTTAAACATAAACTGTATATAGAGAAGGCTTAGATCTCTCCTCACCTTCCTGAGGTCCTGTCCTATAGGCATCTCCACCTGTCAACAGGCCATGTCCACCTGAATGACTTAAGAACACTGTGCTCAATAAGTCTGAAACAGCCCTCCTCAGCTTTTCTTCAAATCTACCTCTCCTCCTGACTCCCTTCTGTGAACAGTGCTAGTGGGCCTGAAGCCTCAGTTGTGTGAGCTCTCCCCAGTCCTCTCTCACAGTGGCTCACGTTCGCATCCTTGCAGGGGCTCCCGGTCAAGAGAGAACAGATGCTCTGCCAGCTCGGCAGCTCCTCTCACCCAACACTCAGCTACCTCCAAGATAACTGCAAGGGTCATGTATGACACATCCTAACACGAGACCAAAATAATCCATTAGGGCTATTTTAAAGGTCAGCAGCCTAACTGTAAGAACAACCTCCAAGGTATTAAGTCATCAACAGCAAAAAATAGGGAGAGCTATACTTTATAAAACTGTGCACATGTGCACTTGTTTCAGCTAGAAACACTCTGTGATAACTTTACAGGGATGATGTAAAGTCTGAAAATTATATTTGGCTTCACTCTGGAGCCTTTACAGTAGCCAACTTCACTCCTCTAGAAGCTCCTCTCATTAAACTCTAAGCTCCAAGAGAGCAGAACAACTTGTTCTATATCCTTCTAAGATCACCAAAACCACTGCTGGGTGTGGCGGTACATGCCTGCTATCCCAGCACTCAGAATGCTGAGGCAGGAGGACCACCTCAAGGCCAAGGCCAGCTTGGGCTACACAGTGAGTTCAAGGCCAGCCTGAACTACACAGTGAAACTCTGTCTCAAGAAAACAAAAAGCAAAAATGAAAAAACTGTCAGAATCAGCAGGAGATGGCACATCATAAGGACTCAACAAATGTGATGAATGAGTGAAAAGTATTTTAGGTCCAAAGAAAAGTCTGACTGCTTCAAGAAATTTCTGAAGTCATAACCTTCTTACACTGTCCTGTATCTCAGTATTTCAAGACATAAAATGTTGAGCCACTTTATAATCATTTTTCTTCAATCCAGAATTGTAAAACACACATTTTCAGCATATAAATTCACCTTTTCTTCTTCTCTATCCCCCCACCAAAAAAAATCACTGAAAATTTGGGCCTCATGAGCTTTACTGTTTTAGGGACTAAAAAATGTTAAAGGCAAAGCACACTGGTGATGACTTTACAGCTTTACTACAATAGCTTATAATTACACATTTTATAAAACTACAGCTGCTACAGAGACAAAAGAGCAACTTGCTTTTAAAATTATGATTTGTAATTCACATTATCGTAGAAATTTGCATAGAAACAATGTGGTTTTCAGGCACTGATGACTTGCGGTGGTTTTTCTTACACAATTCCTATTTTGGACAGTTTTGTTTTCCTATAATATTTAAGCATTCAATTTATTTTAAACTTACCAGTGTGGCATGGAACAGAAGCCCCTGGGACACAGTGCGTCTTGGTTAAAGAAATCTTCTCTGATACCGACTTAAGTGGCCCACCTTTCTGGACAGGCCGACAGGCAGTTGTGCAAGTTTTGCTGGCTGTTAAATCCTGCATTATGTTTTCCCAGTCATCGTCATCATCAAAGTCATCGATATCGAAATTATCAACATCATGGGATGCCTGGCTTTCTCTTTCTAAGTCATTTACTGAAGCAGCAGGTTTTTTCTGATCTTTCACAGCAGTGCTTGTGAGAACATTTTCTGGGAAATAAGAGCTCTTGTTTCTTTTTTCTATCCTTGGTGTTTCAGCCCAGTTGCTACTGACAAAGGACTTCTGTAAATGAGAACTGAATAAAGGTCTTTCAAAAGGAGTACTCGAGGTGGTTGAGAATCCTGTGTTTCCTGGGGCGGTGTTCAGTAAACACTCTCTGTTGGGAAGAGAATTTGAGGGAAGGTGTGGAACACTTAGCTCCTTAACAGAACTCCCTGCAGGGCAGGAATTGTCCTCCACAAAGCTACTGAGCGTATCAGGCCTGTGTGTCCACACTGAACCAAGAAGATTGGCATCATTTCTAGTGAAATCTGCTTCAGCTAGGAGTTTCCTTCTGACGAGAGAAAAGAGAACAGTACGATAAACATAAGCATTTTCTAAGTTGGGCACAAAAGTTTATCTTCAGTTTTCTTTCTCTCTTTTTTTTTTTTTTTGGGTTTTTCTCCGGTACCGGGAACCGAACTCACGACCTTGCACTTGCCAGGCAGGCGCTTTTGCCGCTGAGCTAAATCCCCAGCCCCTATCTTCAGTTTTCAATCCAAACGGAAATTGTAGTAAAATATAATCTTTTTTCCTGTCTCAAAAATGTGACTATAAATCCTAAAAGAAAAGTTTGAAAAATAAATTCAAAACTTGGTGATGTGACAGTCATCCTTATGCAATGTCCAGGCCAGGACGCCTAGACACTTTGCCTGTCTATTTTCTGACTCACAGTGGTAGAGATACAGTCAGACATACCCCAGAGGAGAGAACTCAAGATACCTTCTGTTCCGCTGCTGAAGCAGCTCATCCCCACAATCCAAAGCTTTCAGCTCATCAGGAGGAATAGTATCCACTAATGTACAGATGTGCTCCATCACGTGAAGAAGCTGCTGCTGCAAACTGATCGGTCCGGCTATAAAGCGATTATGCTGTTAATATTTTTCATTGGAAGCAAAAAAGACTTAAGACTTTGAAAGTCATGATGTAAAATGTAAAGCAATTGTAAACACAAGATCATAAACAATAATTTATTGTCCTATTATCGGCCTATGAATTAACTTGAAATCCGATTCTCTATTCTATAGCATGAGAATGTTTAACTATGTTTTCATGTTACTTTAAGATAATATTTCTCAGGGTTAGCTCGGTCACTGGATGATACACAGTGATATGAGTCTTCTACTAACTTTACGGGTAAATGTCACCGTGGCATTACAGAGTACAAAGGAGGGGCAGGAGCCCCCTGCTGTTTTGGCTTCCCGCTGATGCTCAAGGCACAGCACAGTGCCCAGGTTTTCTTTCCGGACACCTCCTCTCTCGTTCCCTTAGTGGGCATCTGATCTGAGGCAGCCTGACGAGCATTACAACAGTTCTGGGAATTTTTCAGCTAACTAAGAAGGAGCACCTCTTTTCAACAAGCTTGAGAAAGGCTGCTGGTAGCCACCCTGCCACTGCCTGAGTGAGACAGCACAGAGGCAGGCAGAAAACAGATAAACACAAACAGGGTGGAGTTGAGATGGAGAAGTAGGACAGAAGAGAGGAAGAAAGAAGGCAATTCCTGACGATGACATTTGGACCATGAATCCAGGCAGCCTGCCCCATATGTTCTGTTCTGTTATTTTATTTTATTTTTTGCAATGCCAGGCATCAAATCCAGAGCCTAAAGCATTCTAAGCGAGCCCTCTATCACTGAGTTATGCTCCCAGTCCTTGGTGGTGCAAATTATCTAATCACTTAATAAAAAGCCACCAGATGTGGTAGTCATACACGTACCACTGGTGGTTCAAGCTACCCGGCAGCGAGACATATGAGTTACAGCTCTAGCGTAAACATTTTATTGATTGATTGATTATCCTACGTGCCTGGCCCTCCCAGAAAGCTGGGATAACAGGTATGCACCACCATGTCTGGGTGGGAAACAGTTTTCTTAGAGGACCAGGAGAGAAAGAAGGACGAGAAAATGTTCAGAGAAGAGAATGAGGCAGCAGGGGCTACAAACTAAGAGCAGTCAGCTGAAGGGTTTAAAGGTCAGGAGGAAGAAGCAGAGAGGACAGAGCAGGGACAGAGAGGACAGACTACAGGGAGACAACCATCTGCATGAGGTATGAGATTCTACAGGGACTGGGAACAGGGACGCGGAGATGGTGAAGCAGAGCTGCTGAATTCTATCTTCTATGCAAGGAGAACTGGCATCAGATTGGAAAGAGGAGAATGCACAATGGTCTGCAGGCACTAGAAGCCAAGGTAGGCTCAGAGAGATATGAATACTCAGCTATTAGGAAGGCTCAAGTCTCCTTCGCAAACAGATTACACCTCAGACTACAAAGGAAATCCACAAACAAGATGGCAGGGGCCCTGCTGCTGATATGCGAGGCAGCTAGTGAACAAGAGAGGTAACAGAACATGAAGACGGACACTGTCCTAATCTTTAAAAAAAAAAACTGATTGCCAAAAGCCACAGGCTAGTGATCTTGATGTTAAATCAATCAAAATTCTAGAACGTGTTATCGAATGGCTGCTTTGTGAGCCCTAAGAGGAAATAATTACAGAGTTAGCAGTGTTCATGAAAACAAAGTAGCCACTCTGATATAGCTCCTTCTTTGAAAGGATTCCTAGACTAGCAGATAACAACAGCCACCACCTGGCAAGGCCCATAGTATGCCTCGAGTCCTGACAGCTACCCAGCAAGGTAGATATTGTTCTCCTTACTTCCTAAAGAAAACAAAGGTCCAGTGAAGCTTAAATGATCTGCCACTGTCACACAGGGGAGGACAGGTTTCTGTCACAGTCTGTGTTCCTCCAGGGCCCATGCCCCACCAGTTCCCTCGTGCTGCCCCAGACTCTCCACCAGACTCTCCATGGAGAAGAAAGAAAATCTTAGTCAGAAGGCAGATCTGTCACTAGGGGCTGGGGATACAGCTCAGCAGCACAGTGCCATCGTGAGTTCAATTCCTGGTACAGGAAAAAAAACAAAAAACAAACAAACAAACAAACAAAAAAAGAAGGTAGATCTGTCACTAACTGAACAAGGAGGAGCAATCCATGCAATGATGGCAGCTAGGAGGGAGGCCCCTAACGATGCACTGGAGGGCTCTGTGCCATGGGCCTAGGAGCCACTTTATCAGTGAAACGATACAAGACAGGATAGCTAGGTGGCTATCAGGGCCTCAAGATAGCCAGATGTGAGTCTGCTGCTGTTTAGCACTGTAACTGTAGAGAATGATTCTGCTCTCTTGACCTTACTTTCTTTATTTGTAAGATGCAGAAAAGGGCTGGTGTGAGGATTAAATTACACTGAAGTTAACAGTGTAGGGCTCTGAAGAGAGTGCCTGAGACATCAACTATTTCAGGAATATCGCTAACAATAAATTCAGAGGTCAAAATAAATAGAAACTCAGAGGAAACAAAACCACTATACACCTAGGTACATTATATACACACACTATAAATAAAGTACAGCATCTTTTATACTAGATATTTAATAGAAAAATATTTTTTAAAAAGTAATCAGAAACAATGAAAACAAATGGCCAAAACAGCATTAAACGTTAAATGAACATCTGGCCCCAGAATATGTACAAGGGAGAACTACAAGGATGAAAGGTTTATAAACCAGTATCTATAAAGGTTAAAAGACTTAATATTTAGCCTCAAGGAAACAAAACGAAACAAATTTCTAGAAGCTTTATCTTTACTTCACAGGGTTCAAGTTAGAGAGAGGCAAACTCTGGGTGAGTATGTGAAAGGATTTTCTAACAGGTAGCATTTTCAAGACAGAGAATAAACCTCGTGACAGTCTTGGGTTTTTTAGTTGTTCAAGCAAATGCTGGCTAGCAAATGAATAGGAAATGATTGTTTGATACAGAACAAAAGGCATAGTATGTTTTTTGGTCATTTTGTTTTATACAGTCACAGAATGAATATGCAATGAATATGTTTACAAAAGCAAGTATCTAAGATATCTGACATGTCTAAACATCTGATAAGCGTGAAATCATTCTGTACCATCATAGTCTATACTGATTTCTGGACTGGGCTCCCGCGTAGTCATTTTCTCTGGTTTTGACAAAGAGTCCTTTGATGTGCTAAGAACATCCTTTTCTCGGTCAGAGGCATCAAGATCCTTTAATGTACTTAAAAAAAAAAAAAAGTTAAACCAATCATACAATAGACCAAATAAATGTATAATTCCCCCCATATTTTTCTACAACTAGTTAGACAATATGTAACAGGTAAGAGAAGTATGTGTTCAAGTTTACTCTATGCTAAAGCCCCTTCAGCTGGGCTTCGAAGTCTTCCCACTTTCTGGATCTAAGAGATCTTTTTAACTTCTAATGCCAATTATGTTCTTCTACCAAGTCTAAGTTCCAACCATACTGAACCACTTACATTCCTCATAACCCTGTGTTATCTGTTTTAGGGGTTTTTCTCTTTTCTCAATTCTGAAAACCTTCCATCAAGCTCTGTACCTAATCAGACCTGTTCTCAGAGGCCCAGGCTAAATGTTACCACTGTTATTTTCAGTAAGCGGTTACCAACATTTCTCTGTGATTCTAAAGCACTTTGTCTGGACTTCTGGTATGCAAATATGTATATACGTACATTTGTGTGTCTATTAGATAACTGACTTGTATAGATTATACAAAAATATATTCACTATAAACATGGTCAGTCTGATTAGATAGAAAAAAATTATAAACAATAAAAGAAATTAGCAATGAGTGTTAAAGAGAGGGTACTGTGGAAACTCAAAGTAAGAACCTATTTTGGAGTTCGAGAAGGCTTTGCTGAAGAGATCAAATTTGAACAAACCTTCAGTGATAGGTAGGGGGAGTGACTAGGAAGATAAAAAAAATTTCTATTTGCTTGCTATCCAGGAATCAGCTGTACTTTTCTAACACAGGATTCTGAAATGCAATTTTCTCATTAAATCAAAAGATAGATAACTATTTTTATATTGCTTTTAAACAACAGCGTTATCATCAAAGAAAATGGCTGTATTTTTAGGAGTGCTTTACTAGGGTGGCTTGAGACTCAGTAGAACTCTGGGTTACTGCAAGGGTGTGAATGGAGATAAACCTGAAAAATAGAGCTGGGAACAGTGACGTGTACCAGTAGGCCAACTATTTGGGAGTTGGAGGCAGGAGGATCACTTGAGCCCAGGAGTTCATGACCAGCCTGCGAAATAGAGCAAGACCACAGTTGTTTTTTCGGGGGAGTGGGAGTGGGGAATTTTGGTCTCACTTTGTAGTGCAAACTGGCCTTGAATTGGTGACAATTATCCTGCGTAAGGTTTCCAACTGCCAAGATTATAGGCATGCGCCACCAGCAAGATCTCACTTCTTAGAGAAAAAATTGCTGAAAAGAAAATTTGGGACTGGAGGATAAAGGATTTTGAGGGCCAGTGTCTTAGTTACTTTTCTCTCATTGCTGAGACAAAGTACCCGACACCCAAAATTAAAAGCAGGAAAGGTTTATGTAGCTCACAGTTTGTAGAGGTTTCAGTCTATAATCGGCTGGCTCCAAGGCAAGGTGGCATGACAGACAGGCATCACAGAGGAGAAACAGTTCATGGCAGGCAGAAGGTAGCAAAGCAAGCAAGAGACAAGACAAGCCTCTTTCTGTCCCTTATACTGTATCCAAGCTACTGGAATTAGGGCACGTGGACTGATTTAGTAATCACTTACCCTTAATCTTAGCATTGCACCATGAATCAATCACATACTCTAGATCCAGTCACCTCTGAAAAAGTCCCACCTATGACTGCATGAGGCTTTGGGGGGACATTTAGACACAAGCCATAAGAGCCAGATACAGAGGTACTGAAATAGAGGAGATAAACATATCTTCCTTTTCTGTTATACACTGTCTGACATTCAACCTCAGAAATTCAGAGGTTACCATGAGATTTAAAAATAATATAA